TCTTTGAGATTTGCTCCAAGCAAGTTTGCCTCTTACAAATCACAACCCAACAACGTTCTAAATCGGCGCCGGCCAAAACTGCGGCCCGAAGATTACGATTCTTCATGTTCGCGTCTTTAAGGTTGGCTACTCGTAGATTGACACCAGTCATATTAGATCTTTCCAGGCAAGCCCCTTTCAGATTAACACCCTCTAAATTAGTTCTTAAGCCCGAAGGGTCTTCAAAATTGCAACCACGTAGATTGGTACCTTCCATATTTGCATGTAAACCTTTCACCGATACCAGCTTTCAATCGTATGAAACCAATTTTTAAAATCATGCCTAATATTAGTAAATAGTTTATCCAAAATAAATTTAAAAAACCGAATCTATTGTCCTTAACTAGGGTCTTTTTACAGTCGTACGTGTTTTCCTTCTTATCGCTTAAGTCTTTCAAAGCAATTTAGTTAATGCATTTCATTTTGTCTTTTACTTTTGAAAAATCAGTTGTATTTGTGCCAAGATATAAGAGCATACTGTGTTAAATCGATCATATCCACACAAAGTTGTAAATGATTAAATGTTCTTTTTTCACTTTTTTGAGGCTTTATGCCTATTAATCGTAAGAAAAACCCCACACAATGCTCAAAACTATATTGTTGTTGTTTGTTGTTGTTGTATCATTCCTTATCTGCATCAACCATTTCTAAATGTTTACATGCTACGAGAAAGATTCAAACACAGGAAAATACGTTTTGACTAAAAATGCCATTTCAAATCGTTTCAACATCGCGTTTTTCATCGCTTACTAGGCAAAGAAGACGACTTTTCTTTGACGTGTTATCACTGTCGATGAAAAATGAATCTACTACGGCGATCACATCGACAGAAAGTTGTGAGTTAGCCCAAGAGAACTATTCAAATCAACTCCGAAGCGAATATTCATGGGCATAAAGTTTTGCTCTGCATACGGCAGGGTATAGTGCATTACGCGCTGCTAAAACCCAATGAAACTTCTACTGCAGATGTTTACCGACGTCAATTGAAAAAATTGAACGCTGTATTATTAAAAAAAAGAGCAATAATAGGGCGTAAAGTCATTCCCCTGCATGACAATGCTAGGCCGGAAATCACAAAAGTTGTTTACGATAGACTGTTACGGTTTGAATAGGAAATTCCGCCGCAACCAGCGAACTCACCAAACATACCGCCTTCTGAAACTACTTGTTCAGATCGATTCAGCATAGCTTGGCCGGCACGCGGTTTCGAAACGCTGAAGAAGTGCCAGAATGGGCCGGTAATTGGATAGCTGCTAAACCAATATCGTTCTTTCGGCGTGGCATTGCTGTATTGCCAGACGGACGCGAAAAAATTATAGAAGATGATGGAAAATATTTTGATTAATATAATTGTACCGGTTTTTTTTTAATAAATGCCTTTTTCAAGCCAATAAATGATCAAAACACACTTAAGCACTTAACAGATATCTTTTATAAATATGACGCAAACATCGATTCATATGCAATGGATTCCCAAAAAAGTTTTCGTATGCAGAGTTTCAGATCAACTGACGGATTGACCTTAGAGAAAATAAATCCAATTATTCTCTAATGGGGTCATTTATTGCAAAAGTCATATTTTACTATTATTACTTTCTTTTTTTGATTATCAATGAACCGAAAAGGCGTGGTTATGTCACAATATGTAGAACATTTCTCTGATACATGTACATGAACGTTTTCTGCCCCGACGCCCACAATAGTCTGCGGCGTTTTTGTCTTGATGTCTACACTAATTCTCGTGCGCTTGTGGCAAATCGATCGGTAGTTCTTGCAAGCAATCTTAATTTTTTATAACAATTTTTGATCTCCTCGCTTGATTCAAGTATATTTCTTGCAATTTTTCCGCCTCTAAGAGGAAAACGGCAATATCTTTTAATAAATTTGCACACTTGATGCATAACCTTTGTGACATAAGAAGTTCTTCTTCTTCCGAAGACTTTATAGAAAGAAATGCATTAATGCGGTGTGTTTTTTTCGCAAAAATAAATACATGCGTTAATTCTCAATAAGTTGCTTATCAGCTCCCCATAGGTTTTGGACGATTCAACATCCTGAGATACACGTTGATAGAAGGAAAGTGCATGTCCTGCATTTATGATTAAATTGTGTAGATTGTGCAGAAGGTAAATTTACTTTAAATTTAATTTAAATTTTCAACGAAATAATATTTTAAAATATCCCATATATTTGGCTGAAAACTTTGTAATTATTTTTTTAATTACCCTTTGTACTACCAAAATCTTTAGCCAAACTGTGCCATGCCAATAGTTCACTAAGTTCAATAAGTGATATACATAAGGATATTTACAACAAGAACCATCGCCATCAAAATAATCGCACATACAACACAACATATTGTAAACCGTCTTGCGTACTATACGGGAGACCAATGAATCTTCCTAATTCAAAAGAACATGAGAGAAGGAGCCAAAACTGATTCGATGTTTCTATACCTTAAATATCGAGTTTGAAATCATATCATGCATATACGAAAAGCAGTTTAAATCCAATGCTCGTTTGCCCATTTGACGGCAACGTAGCAACTGCTGATCATTTTCCGAAGCGTTAGTATACCGTATTTTCACAAACATCCAAGCCAATAACAAAGGTCCATATTCAGGATTATGACACATACGTGTTACAACTTTGTCAAAACTACGAAATACTATAAACTTTTGAGTTCATGTTAAGAACAATTTAACTACCAATAAAGTGGGCCATCATATTAAAGTCTGCTGCCCGGATGAGGTAAGCCGTCATTATCTAAATGCTCGCGAAGTTCTGGCATTTGCGGATTATGACCAAAATAGCAAGTTCCACTCAAACCAAAAAATTTTGATTTATAGATGCTAACGTGAGTGAAACCACATTTATACCCAGATTTATTTATAATCATGGCATCCTCCATATCATAGCCGGTATAAGAATTAACCGCCACAATTGCATTAGTGCCCATGGCAAAATCGTCAATTTTTAATAATTGTTCAAGTATTTGTATAAAAATTGCCTACATCTGAGAATAAACGTCCACATTTGTTTACAATTAGCTACCATTGACAATATTCAGCACAAACATGAAATGAATGATGTGCTTTATAAATGCTGGTTTTACGCACCGAGGAACATTTTGAAATATGCCATATTGTATAGAAACTAATCACTGGTAGTTGAATTCGAAAGGAGAAGCAGCTGTAGAATGCATAGAAAATAATTCAGACTCTCTAATTCTTACAAATTCAGACGCTCACCTGAGGTAGAAACAATCATAAACAAATGTGGACGCTTACTCTCAGATGTTGGGAACTTTCAGACAAATTATTGAGAATCATAGAATTAATAGAATGCAACAAGGCAATTATGTCAACAAATAATAGGAAATTTTCCTTCAACAAGAATTTCACCTGCAATTGCTGTTGATTATTTCGAACCATAATGGACCCACTACGAAATTAGAGGAAAAAAGCCAACAAAGGCATATGTAGCAGCATTTTATTGTTATGCTATAAAAGCAGTCCATCTTGAACTTGTAGGTGACTTATCAACTAACGCTTATATAGGATCATTAAAATGTTTTATCAGGTGTAGATGGCGCTATCAAAATGTTTACAGCGACAATGCAACTAATCTTATTGGAGCCAGTAACAAATTGGCAGAACTATCGGTCTCAATGTTTTCCGATAAGAGAAAAGAATCGATAATGTCAACATACCGGTCTAAGCGAATACAATTTCACTTCGTTCTACCAAGGACTTTTAACTTTTTTTATGTAGTTTTTGTTTATTTTCATTCATTTCACATTAAGATCACAAATTTCACATTTATTAAAAGCAACTCTGTGCTCTCACTATTCTAAACGCTTGGTACTTTTTATAAGCAATATGAAGGGGAGAGTAAGTAAATGAGCGAACTACGAATTTCACAACTTTAGAGAGTAAGTAGATGAGCGAACTTCGAATCTGACAACTTTAGAGAGTAAGTAAATGAGCGACCACTTGTTAGAATGTAAGTATTGGAAATATTTATTCTCCTTTCTCCGCATCACATAAAAATATATATTAAAATACATCAAAATAAATACGAAATTTTTAATGATAATGAAATAGAAAATTACACGCTATAACACGTTCAGGATAGATAAGCAAAAAGGAGGATAGAACGCGAGATATGAAGCGGAATATAACGTTTCTTTTAAAGAACTTTTACGAGTAAAATCATTGAGAGTAATTTGCCCATTCTGTTTTTGAATGGTTTTATAGAGGGTATACGCATTGATTATACATATTTCCATCCCCCCAAAAAATAACTTTTGCCACCTCTTGAGAGATTTTCTTAGGAAGCAATAAGTTGATCCATATTGATCAGCCCAATCTCCACCCCCCACTGAATGTGTGTAGTCGAGCACTACGTTACGTTTACTGACTATTACTTCTGACCCACCTCGAATATATCTCTTGGTATCAATTTCATTATCACTTTCGTTTTCACTGATCTCAAAACTTTCTCAATAATCTCCTTCTTCCATTTTTTCTCAAGGGTAAATCTATCTAATATAAAACAAAATTCAAAATTCGCTAGTCATTGAATGCAAACTACGCAATAGCGGCGCCGACAGAGTTAGTGCAATGAAAGCATGTGACGCAATAGCGGCGCCTATGAAGTAAGTGCACTGATTGCACTGGCGCAATAGCGGTGCATACGGAGTGCAAAGGGTTAAAAAATATGAGGGGTTTTACATTTTTTTATAATCTCTTAATTAATTACATTTTTTCACCTCTTTTATAGATTTATTCTTCTTGTTTTTTTTTCAAAGTTTTGGTGGCTTTTTCATTTGAATTCAATTTCATAAAAAAATTTTTCTTTCTGCTTCGCCCAACTTGAACACTTAGTTGTTGCTGCTCTTATCGTTATTATTGCAAAACACGATTTCATTTCAATTTTCGTCTTTTTTCTTATTTCAGTGATTATAGGATTTTCCAGCGGACTGCATTTTCATAATGAAAAAATGCTTAAGGCGAAGCAACTAAAGCTATCATTACATAATAATAAGGCAACAAAATCAAAATCTCCATTCCAGTAAAGTAAAGTAGAGTTGAGTGCAGTAACCAGCAGCAATCAAACGGCGTGCTGTTGGTAAACGTGGCACGAAAAAGGAAAGACTGTCCGGCTTATGTCCATATGCTGCGATTGGGTGAATGTCGATATAAAAGAATGAGAAAATAAAAGTCCATAAAATGCAAAACAAGCTAACGAGAAAAGATGGTCAACTTAAAACAATAGTAAAAAACAACAAAAACAAAAGTAAAAGCAAAAACTACACTTTTATAAAAATTGTTAACGTGTGTAAACATCATATTTTCGTAATTATGTTGATGGCGTCCATAAAGACGACGATGATTCCGATGGATGATAAAGAAAAATTCAGACAACACTTTTACTATATTTGCAAATTAATATCGAAAAAATAATTATCGAAAAGAGTATAATCATACTTCAGACCAACAGCAACAATAAACTATTATTAAAAAATTAATTCAAGTGTAAAAGATACGCTTAAATAATTTTTTCAATAAACGAATTAACAAAGTTGTAATAAAAATGTTGTGTACACTTCAGCAGGAGCATAACTCTTTTTGCTGCAGACTTTTGCAGTAAGCCAACTTAATTTCGCAAAATGTCTTCACGTATGGTTTGTGTGTGAAAAAAAAGGGAAAATGGTAGACAATATTTTTGTACTTTTAATTCTGCTTCTCTCCAAAGCCCGCTAACATCTTAAAGCGTGAAACGAAGGACTCTGGTTAGTTCCTATAATTGCCACCCACATAAATGCTAATATTTTTTATGTCCGGCGATTATAATGTGTCAAGACATTGCACATTTATAATATTCGACGCTGGGACTATCAATCTGCTTGTATACGAAACAATGATTCAGTTTAAAGAACATTCGCGAGAGAGGCTTGAGGTAGAATGATTAGGGACAGGCAAGAAACTATGACACTTGATTTTTTTCGAAATAAATTTATAAAATAGGGTGACGTTGTTGTAAAAATACTCTAGAGAGTGGACGGTTGATTGAACGATTCCATACTCAATACAGGTTTTTCATAAAGCAGGTTTTTCTAACTAGATCGAATCTAATCTATAGTAGTAGCCCTACCTTGTTCGATTTTCAGATTTCTACATACATGTTCAACTTTCTAGCATCTGACCGGAAATTTATCTTAAATATATAAGCATAGGAAGAGACAAAATAATCTATATCCACCCACTTGATATATTTGATCAATAAAACATCTTAAGATGTGTGAAAAATGTACCAAACTGTTTCTAATTCTAGAAAAAAGGTTCAGTTTATTGTGTGCGACGAAGAATTCTAATATAATAACTAAACCAATGATTAACTTTTGCAAATTTTGATTACTTACAAAAATAAATTAATCAAAAAAAAAAACTAAACATTCTTGATCGGGTCTTTTATTTTCCTTAACGAAGTTTTTAGTTGGCAGACCCAGTTTATTAAGTGCAAACGATTTTAAAAAAATTTTAAATAAACTTAAAAAAAATTAAAAATCATATTTAACGAATCATCAGAATTCAAAGCTTCATTTTAGAATTATATATGTGTGTGAAAAGTCAAATAACCAACTTAAGCTGAATTGGAAAAATTATAGCTTCGAGCTTGAAGAAATTGCGTGAGTGAGCGTGAAGCGTGAGCCTCTTTGGCGCATTATATGGCTAAGAAGGCTGTGATGTTGATCAATGAAAATTCTTTATATAATAAAAAGTTGTATTTGAGTCGGACTCCAAATATTTAACATCTAATCGAGCTTGTTCAAAAACGCGTAGTTTTAATTTTTAGTCTACAGAGACCTAAGAAGCTTTCAACGCTTTTTCTGAAGAACGCGCATTAAAAGAACACGAAAGCAACTTGATCGTTTTATTTTTTTTTCCACCCCTTTAAACCTTCGTACACTTACTTGGCTATGGTTCATATTCAGATGTAATGAACTATGTATAAAACGTAAAACGTAGATATTTGCAAAAAACAAAAAAAATGCAGGAGCGGATATATAAACATTGTTAAATAGATTACTTAAAAAATTGTTAACGGTGAAATATAAAATTTTACAAAATTAATTCGATCTATATTTACTATTTTTCAGTATATTGAATGAAAGCGGAAACCCTAAGCAAAATTGTAGAAAATCGTCTAAAAAATAACTAAAATTTAAAAGAAAATTTTAATAGAAGTTTGAAAAAAAGAAATCAAATCAAAATTAATGACATAGAAGAAAAAGAGAAACTCTTACGAAATAAAATATATTATCAATCAAATCAGTTGAGAGCAAAGAGAAAAGCTCTATATCCGCATATTTCGGTGATACATGTTTGTGGAAAGGTTGAAGAAAGCAGAGCGGTATTATAACGGGAGTAGTTAAAGAATTCTTTCTTTTTACTTTATCACTGCGAAAGCCTATAAACGTATAAACGTGGAAACCTATGTATAAAACATTTCGATAAATCTTTTACAAGATGCGTTGGGTAACAAGGAACTCAGCTTATGCACTTATACGCACATACACACACGCCAACACCATGAAGCCACCGCTTTCAATTGCTCCTGCATCGGGGTTTAGTTACTCTTCATCTTTCATCTGTTGTCGTAAGGGACGGATGAAAGCATCGAAGCTGAAGACCATAAAATATCTGCTGGTTTATGCTGTCATTTCGCTCATCTGTATCCAAGGTAAGAATTGTTCATTTACTGATTGATGCTGCGTTTATAGCAAATATTTGATTGTATTCCCTTGAAAGCAGCGACAGCTAAATATGTTCAAAAGCATGCATCTATGACACCTTTTTTAAAATTAAATTGAAATTTTTTAATATTTAAACAAAAATCATAAGCTTTCCTTCAGAGCAATTGTTGAGTTATATTTAGATGTTAAGTGTTGTAATAATTAGCTCATGATAATCTGTAGGCGACCAAATGCCCCCGCACGAGACCCCTCACGTTTGAGAGCATAACCTCAAATCCGATTTAATCGTTTGATTCCTTAACTAGATCTGAACATTTTCATTATTCTTAATCTCCACAACAAAAATACAACCCCATTCTTTCCACAAAAGTCAGCCTTCTGCCTTTTAAGAATTGAAGCAAACATTCGCGATTATACTTAAGCCTGCTTATCCAAAACTACAATGTTCTCTGTTTATATTTTACGTTTAATTAAAACCTTGCAATATGAGCGTCTTTAAGAACTGAAATGTCAATGTTGCATCGCGAGCCGTTCGCGCAGACATCTTAAGACAGCGGAACATATGAAAAAACTTCTGCTGTCTGACTTGATCATACTTTGCTAAGCGCTTTCAATATACATTAATTCTTTCCATTTCTTTTGTAAAATTCGAACGCTCATGTGTACCATAATATTGTTTGGGGCGTTGCACCCTCTAATTGTTTGATTTTGTTCGGCAAAAGCAAAAAATCGATTTTTCAGTTACTGAAAATCCAAGTAATTCATTCTGTCTGCGTCTGTTTTTTTGATGAATTCATAATTGTAATGAGTATGGAACGTAAAATGAATCCGTAAATCATTATGTGCAACATATGCATAAAAAATATAATAAAACAATATATACATGCATATACTAGTATACTAGTATATATATGTGAAACGTAGATATAACATATAAAACTTATTATACATTACGAGTGTCTAGAACTTCACAGCAAAATTTTAGAAAAGGATTGTGCGCCATATGCCGAAATGTAACATATGTGGACTTGAAAATGGATGAAAGACGCCTTAAAGAAAATTTTGATTCTTATTAAACCGTTGACAAAACTTTTGTTTTTCAAAGTAAATTTTTGCTTTTCAACCACAGCTGAAGACATTCGTAAATCGCTTTATTTGAATAATCTATTGATGGATTTACGTGGTTCAAGTAATAGTTATCCGAAGCCCGCTTCAAGTCTTTTATATGTAAGCTTTGAACATTTCCAAGTGTTTCTAGCTTTTATAAAAAACAATTTGCATCTAACTTATTTGTTATATATAAATAGAAAAAACTTTCTATGCGTGTCTTATACATGTAGGTGAAAATCATAAAAACAGTTCTATGTAAAAGTAATTTGTTGTCTGCATTCATGTACATGTACAAGCATGAACTGCTTGTTTGCATGTATAACATTTAGTAAAGAGAACTTTTCCTAACAACTATAATAGCAATAGCAACAGAAACAGTAACAACTTTAACAAATAAAGGCAACAATGCATAAAATAGCCGAACAATTTTGTAAATGATTTTTCATATTTATGGAAACGATAATCGAAACAATCATAAAACCAGATAAAAATTGTATTCATGTTTCTGCGTGTTTGTGGGTATATGAATGAAAACGAGTTTGAAAATGCCGACAGCAACATGGCACAACAATAGGGTTGAAAGAATGAATGATTGTATGAACAATAAACTGCCATACATGTATGTCTGCCTTTGCATGACGTCTGTGTGACTACGAAAAAAGTTTAGCTCACAATCCCTATGAAAATCCAAACATTTACGTTATTATTATTGTCGTGGAGTTGTTTTGTTGGGTTTCCAAAAATGTTTATTACCGAAAAAATAACTTCTAAATAAAAAATTGCGATGATTTGATGGGCTTGAGTCTCCGAACTTGGCTATTAGATGTATTTTGTGTTTTTTTTTTTTAACAAATTGAAATAAAATTGTTAGGCAATAAATTTAATGCAAAACCAGGAAGTTTTTAATACGTATTGTATTTTCATTTCCCCGTAGCAGTTATATCTATTGTATATTGATGAAAAATTCCCCATTGGAATAATTTGAAATTCAAAATTTTTTGTGAGCGCAGATTTGTGAGAAAGCTATCACAATACCACGATGGTTCAGTTGGCCTCATCAGTCTATAAAACTCAATCTTTAACTTGAACCTCAATAATCGTGTTAGTTGAAAGTGTTTCAATTATTACAGTTTCTTTTCTTCAGTTTGAAGTGTTACTATTGGATTCAAAGTTTCGAATGCGGATAGTTCTCTATGTATCTATCAACTTGATCCTAATTTTTTTAAGTTCTGAAAATTACATGTAAATAAGTGGGTAGCTATCCCAAGCTTATGTATGGTATAAAAATATCTTTTTACCAACCTTGTTCATTTCTAATCTCAAAATGAATTGACATATCGGCTTTCTTGGTTTAGGCGGATTCCGAGTTACTCCAATTTAAGTTATAAAGGGTGATTTCAGGCGCTTCTACTTTACTTCTTATATTTAAGACTTACAACGCTGTTTTTTAACAATGTGGTGACCCCACGTTGATCTTGGGGACTCCTTTGTGTCTAATAACATTGTTTGTTTCTATCCTAATTGTCTGTCCCAAATCTCTAAACTGCATTTATTTTGGGGCTATTTCAAAATAGCACTTCATGAGGATAGGAGTTCGTGAGATGTGGGAGTGTTTTATATTTTGGCTCTCGCATACCAGACATCTAGAGACAATAGAAAGTACTTACCCATTTACGAACACGTGAATGAACGAAAGCTGAGTTTGCGAATAGGCATATTCTAGGCTCTGGCCCTTTCATTACCCGCCCTACCCAATGGTCTTCGTCGGCCTATGATGTCTATGGGAGACATCGAAGTTGGATACAACAAGAAACGAAAATTTAACCTGTCGACAATTTTTTTCTTTTTATACTTATATTTCACTCTTTCATTTCTTTAATACATATATTTATTTTTTGTTATTTTTCTCTAATACATATAACTTCCAATATGAAAAGAAATGTATGTATACATTTAGATTTTACATTAAATTAAGAAAACAAAAATGGATTACTGATTTGTAACAAAGTGGAAATGTCATTCATATTTCAATTCGATCATAAATCAGTAAGTGAGTATTTAAAAAAAAAAAAACCTAATGCATAGCAGGCTTGCTACAGCAGGTTATGAAAGCGTTGTGCATCGAGGGAAGTATTTATGAAGAAAGCGGCGGTGCAACATAATAGATGCCAGCTATATCCGGATTTGCTGCTGTTTTTGTGGTCTAACGATTTCACAGCTTGATGTTGTTCTTTATATGTCTATGATGATGAAATATAATGTGGGTTTACATACACACTTATAATTAAGGGGCTCAAAATTTTTTTTGATTGACTTCGGGCTACTTTTACTGATACATTCATTTTCCTTTTTATAACAATGCTTTTAGCAAATTGTCATAAATTGTAAATATTTTATTTTTACTGTTGTCTCTTCATTTATTACCTATTACCGACAATTTTACAAAGCAACTTTTGCACTCCTTTTTCTTTTCTTTAGTACTTTTCAGTTTTGAGGCATTGTTCAATCATTTAGTTTTGATATGTATAGTTTTAAATAAAAATTTCAAGCTAAGTGAATTCTTCAAAGAGTCAATATATAAACCAATAAAGAAACGGCCTTCGGATATATGGTATGATTGCAATTATAGCGTCTTAATATTTCGAAATTAATTATATTAATTATATTAATTCACACAAACTCCTTCCAAAACCTTAACCATGCGCACAAATCACCCGTAAATGCAACACAGCACTCTTTACTTATCTACATAGTCTTCGCTTAATGTGAAAAATAATTGTTTTCCATAGCTTTACAAAAAAGAAAATTATATTTTAAAGTATATATTAGTTTGGGGAAAAATAAATCCATTATTTTTTCGGTAGATGGCTGCACTGATAGATTTCTCGTAAAGTATCGATCAAACAATTTCAGATTTATGCTCGTTGGAAAGGTGACATTTCGCAGTAAAAAAATTCTTTTGCTGTTTTTTTGTTTGGTGCATTCAGTTGTGAGTTACAGCGTGTTAAAAATGGAAGTGAACAAAGAGAAAATTCGGTACATTTTACAGTTTTTCTTTGACAAAGGCGAAAATGCAAGCCAGGCGGCTAAAATTATGAATGGTGTTTATGGTTCCGATACTGTAACAGCCAATTATGTGCAATTTTGGTTTCGTAGATTCCGTTCAGGAATTTTTGATGTTAAAGATGCACCTCGCACAGGTAGGGCGTTAGTCGAAAATGTCGATAAAATCGGAGAAATGATCGAAATTGACCGGCATGTTAGCAGTCGTAACATCGCCCAGGAGCTAAAAATCGACCATAAAACAGTTTTAAACCATTTACACAAAGCTGGATTCAAAAAGAAGCTCGATGTTTGGGTGCCACACCAATTAACAGAAAAAAACATGATGGATCGAATTTCCATCTGCGAAGCCTTGGCCAAACGGAATGAGATAGACCCATTTCTTAAACGGATGGTGACTGGAGATGAGAAATGGATCACATACGATAACCCTCTGCGAAAACGATCGTGGTCAAAGAGCGGTGAAGCACCTCAAAGGGCCAGGAACGTTTTGCTATGCATTTGGTGGGACTGGAAGGGGATTATTCATTATGAGATGCTTCCATGTGGCCAAACGCTAAGTTCTGATGTCTACTGTCAACAACTGGACCGTTTGAAGATAGCGATTGACCAGAAACGGCCAGAATTGGCCAACAGGAGAGGTGTCGTGTTCCACCAGGACAACGCTAGGCCACACATCTACAGTGACTCGCCAGAAACTTCGGGAGCTTGGTTGGGAAGTTTTAATGCATCCGCCATACAGTCCGGACTTGGCACCAAGCGATTATCATCTTTTTCTTGCATTGCAAAATTTCTTTAATGATAAAAAATTGGAATCTAGGGAGGATTGTGAAAATCGACTACTAGAGTTTTTTGCAAATAGAGACCAGGACTTCTATGAGAGAGCCATTTTGAAGCTACCTTACCAAATCATACACCAAAACGGTGCATATTTGACCCAAATCGGACAATCCGAAGCATGTTAAATAAAGTCCTGAAGTTCATATAAAATATATATTAAGGACAAATTTACATAAACTTTTCCATATTCTGGTCACAGGACCAAAACACCCCAAACTTCTTCGTTATCTTTCGCAAGTATGCCGAGTTGCATTTTTGCAAGATTGCAGTTAAGAAATACCCGCCCAGTGACCCTTTTGGAGACAGATCGACGTCTTTTACTGGACGGACTGAACTTATGCCTGGGCTATTCTAAGCCCTACTCTACTTACCCTCTGTTTTGGCCCAAAATCTTGTATGAGACACTCCGAAATTGCTTCCTCAGACTCCTAAATCCATCTGCTTCCCATTAAAGAAAAAGAAAAAAATCAACAGATTTTTAACAAACGATAGAAGATGTTATGAGCGTAAATTATTGCTAATGTTGAAAAATAACCAAAAAAAATTAAAAAAAAAAATGAATAAAAGTTAGAAGTAATTATTATTCCTACATCATATTTCTCAACGTTAAAAACGAATATAAAAAATTTCCTTAATGTAGACTATAGACATATTCATTAACTTACGTTATTATACGACACACAGGAATACACTAATCATTAACCACAAAGTGATGGTGATTTCGTTAAGGTGTATGTGTTGATGGCTAGGTAGCGCTGCATTTAATAATACTTGAGTTCTAGTACATTTGACGGCAGTTGTGTGTACTGCTGTATTAGAGATGACACCGCAGTTAGCATTTACATACATATATATTTGTAACATTCCGTTCTTCTTTCTTTTATTTATTTCCATTTTTTACGTGCTTGCGTGTACTTTTCTTATGCTAGTTACAAACTCTGTTTTTGTTCAGAATTTTTTATGAAATTAAAAACTCCTACCCTTAATATGCTAATAAATGTTGTTACTGCGCTGTTCACATTTCTAACAATGGATTAATTTGACTATTCGTGCATATTGTTTTTGCACCAATACTCGCGTTAAGGAACTTTCATGTCTCCAGCTTAGCATTGTCCTTGTTTAAAAAAAAAACACAATTTACATCACAATCATTCGATATACCCCTTCAGTTTTTATAATATTTTGTTGTTGTATGATAAAAGTCTGAAAGTGAATGACCTTGTTGGACCAATCTGTGCCTTTTTCTTTTACAGTAATTTTAATTTTTAGTTTCGTTAATTTACAATTAGCGAAAAAGTGATCATAATATATTGCCATACACTATTCACCCACACAACCACTTCTTCACCTCAATGCTCAAATCATCCCCCTCGCTAATCGTTCTTGTTCACAAACGCAACGCGAAGAAGACAAGAAAAAAATCTCAACTAGCACGAAAGCAGAAACAGTAGATGTTATCACGATCGAAGAAAAAGTAAATGCCACAAGGTCTACTGTTAATTGTACCTTGTCGCCATATGAAGGCTTTCTTTGCACTAAAATCTTTATAGGGCAAGAGGTTCGGAAAATAGATGTAAATGAGCCAAAGTTAATAGAATCAAATTACAATTTTGATCAAGTCTCATTACAAAAATGAAAATATTAAAAATAGAAATGTTATTTTTGCAAGTTGTTTTATATTGAAACAAATTCAAGAAATAGTCCTATCCCAGTGAAATTTTCCCAATACACTGTTGTACAAACAATACACTGACCAATCAAATTCAGTTGTCCTTCAGCCAAAATATTTTAGTGTATTAAATTTCATCAAAATGTATTCAAAATTGCGACCTATCTTCCACAAAAGAAGACGCGGACGGGCATCGCACAAATAGCAGACATGATGAAGAGGGACATGCAGAGAAACGAGAGATAGACAGAGTAACAGATGCGTGCATACGCGTGTTCGATATTAGTATAATAAAAAGTGAATCTATTTCAAATTCTTTTGGGCGTTGCACACATTCGCGCAAAGTTAATGCACCCTTACCACAAGTTGTAAAGTATAGAAACATTCTAAGATCTTTGTTTGTAATTCCTTTTTAGGTAAACTAGGGTAGATCTCAGTGAATTGTTTTAGTTCAGTTTACACCTGATTCGCAGTGGCGTATGTAAGGGGTAAAAGTTTTTTGTAGTGTAGATAGCAGATAGGACAGTGGTATTCACCACACGGAAAATTATTACTATCCTTAGCGAAGCAAAAAATTGTAACAATTCGGGCAACTCAAACAAAAGAAAAACCTGTCAGCTGTGAATATAGCCAATAGAAATAATTGCCATGGTGAAATATATACTTTTTTCAATTTATCTATCGATTCACAGATGCAGAAGTCAGAAGATTAAAGGTTAAGCTAGTTAAAATTAAAGTAGAAGGATTCTTAAAACTATGAAGTTAATATATACACATAAGAAAAAGTAAAGAGAAAATCATACACCTTATCTGGCCAATCGGTGTGCTCAGCAGCTGAAGTACGTTAACTACAAATACACCACGTGAACACTTAATCAATGCAAACGTACCAAAACTTAGCAAAAATGTAGAAACATTTAGTACATCGTGGGTTGTTAAAACTTATAAATTTTAGTCTAAGTATAACGTCGCCAATGCATGAGTATTATAGCAAGTAAAACCATTATAGACAGGCAAGGCCGACCTTTAGATGCCCTATACCGCTTATATGATGTTGGCTCCGAAAAATAGACCTACGTGTTTCCAATACGGTATCATTATGAACTAATTTTCACCGAAAGTTCTTGAAAATTATGCCATTTACCATATAAAGATTCAGTTTTCATAATACCGTTTATACGGCAGAGCCGTGAAAAAATCGCTCCACCCGACCAAGGTTTTCGCCAATAATTTGGAATGCTGAAAGACAATTACTTAATGACTTTTGTCGCGATAAAACTGCTCGACCCGAGGCATTTTCAATAGGATTCGTCTTTGTGCTGAAATACGTCAGTGTGCCCAATTTAAACCAAATAACTCAAATATTGCGACATGTAGGTTGAAAACAACATTACGTGGACATCGTATAGATTTAGGTCGATTCATTCGCAGTTGAACTTGCATTGAGTAAATTTAACAAAAAGAAAATTTCTTGACGGGCTGATAGGAACGTTAAGCTTAATCTCATTTAACAACACTGACGAGTTAATGATGCCGCTTAATAATTTTAACATCGTAAATGCGTACGACTACCCTACTTTCCTGGAGTGAAGATAAAAGTATAAGTAATAGTACATTCTCGCAGGGTAGCAATTGCATACCGATCTAAATTTCTTAGCGTAAAAAGTTAGAACTGGTTCGATTGAGTTCACATGGCGTCAATCAGAACATGACCACATAACTCAGGTCTTGTCGTTATGTATGTGGCGCCGAATTCTGCCACCACATCAGTGTCAGTTTTCGCTAAAGCCTAACACCCAATCTGGCTTTATATAAAGATTATCCAATATATAAATTGAATCGAAGCTTGTGGTCAAACGCTCACATCGAGTAACAAGAGTTCACGTTATCCATCTTGTAAGAATTAATAGAAACAATGTAGGTCATGGAATTGAAAGAGCAGCACGTTGCTAAATTATTTAAATCAGCTTGGAGGAGACATAGATAAGTTTTCCAATTAAAGAACGACATTACTTTCACATCATCTGCGTATATTAAAATACGAGGTTATACAGTAACTGATGAAAGATCATCAATGTAAATGATAAATAAACGGGCTCTAAGTGACTACCTTCGGGGACTCCGGAAATGACGGATATGGCATTAAGCAGCCTGCGTAACTCAGTAAGTAATACATCCCTAGTATTCAACAATATGTTTATTACCGATGATTCAATGAAAATGAATGCAATAGTTCAACGAAGTTCTACTGTACGATTACAAGACTGTACGCTGTGGCACCCCGGCATTCAGTGCTACTTTAGCGATATGAATTTTTGTAACACTTCGTCAGAGGTAATTTTTGGTAGCGATATACAAAATTGTTTTGATGCAGTTAAGGATAGGGTAAAAGTTAATGAAGTTAAAATTCATTTAAAAGAATTTAGCAAAAAGATTTGGGAGCATAAGAACGTCGGAAGTTTCATAACCAGACATCAAAGGGGGAAATGAAACAACTTTACTTGTAGAATTGACGAGCGCATAGAACCACTTTGGATTGCTTAATAAAATAGATTTTATTTACTTTTTGCTTCCACATCAAACTCAGCTTGACTCTTAGAAGTAAATCTTATTCCAATTAATATAAAAACTAGTGCAAAATATAGTAGAAGTAAAGAAAAAAATAACAAAAGCCATTTATTTTAATAAGGAGAAAGAGAGACAAACGGGTCAGAATCCAAATTCCTAACGACAAACAGAAAAAATTGCTTTTAAATTCATTCAATTGAATCTACCAAGCATATGCAGGCAGGAGACCACAGAGCAGACGTATACTCAAATATTGGTCCAACTGAGCACATGTACAGCCTTTTTGTAATGTAAGGATACTTCGACTCTTTGGACCACTTTTTAATGAAATCATGTGTGAACTTAGCTTTACTTAAAGAGAGCTCAATGTGCAAACTAAAAAGTAATGTTTCATTGAATAGAATGTCTAAATCGATGAACGAATCTACGTTTTTCAACTTGGGTGAATCGATGAGTCAGTATTGAATGATTTCGTCTTTGAGAAAAAAAGATTCTTGCATCTTTTCAGATTTAATTTCATAAAATTTAACGATAACCATGTAACCAAATAGTTTAGGTCAATTTGAAGATGATCCGATTATGTTTCCAAGGAAAAGATTCATCAGCGGCCATTAAGATCTGGCTGGATATAATCGCAGAGGAGAGATCATTAGTATATAAATTAAATAATAGGGATCCTAAGGGATTGCCTTGAGAGACGCCAGACTTCACGGGAAATTCATCCGAGATGATGAAGTTAAAGAGAACCCTGAATGATCTGTTATGCAGCTAAGACGTTATCCATTTCACTAAGTACAAAGAGGAGGCAAATGCTTAGAGTTTGAAGATCAATAAGCTACGGATAACTAAGTCAAATACTTCAGTAAAAGCAGTATATACGACGTCCGTGCAAAGATCACTAGAAAAAGAATTGAAAGCATGAAAAGTATATTTCGGTAGAAACGATAGATAGAATAAAAGAATGATGAAAGTAAAAATTTTATAGCAAAAGCTAAATACTGAGTAACAATTCAGTCAGACAATTTAGGTAAAAGACTCGTCTTGGCGATGCCTCTATAGTTCTCAACGCGTTGTCTATTTCCACATTTATGAAACGAAATATGGAGACTACTCCTCCAGCAGAAAGGAAAAACATCTGACTTCAAAGCCTGATTCAAAATCTTCGAAATAACACCACATGGCTTGTCAGGGCACGATTTGAGTGTACATGATGGAATGCTGTCAAGCTAGTTGCACAACTATGTTGTAGAAACCACAAACCATCTAAAGCATCGTTCCGCAAAATGATCATGTTAGGAATCGAAACCGAGTTAGTGATCGAATGCAGATAATCAATAGTTAACTCGGAATAATGAGATTCACGTAGTAAAATATTGCTTTTGTTAAAAACGTAATGTTGATTGGAGGAAGTTGCATACGGCAGTTCAACGGACCGTCATGCCTGCAAAAAAATTTTTGGGTGGCACGGATCCTCAGGTAAATTAAAAGGTGGACAGCGGCTTAGTTATTTCCTAGCTAGTCTGCCATTACAATTAGAAGCACGATTGCATTGAAGTAGGTTACGATTAAATAATTCATGGAAAAACGCAAACGCTCTGTCAGATGTTGAAGTGGTGAACTTACGGCTAAAATTCTCACTATAGCGCCAAGCGACTTATAGCCAATTGAAGTCGCCTAACACTATGAATATAGAGCGTTGTGTAGGTATGTAGGGTTAGACTTTTCGGCCGCGTCACAAATGAGGGCAGCATGTGTGTTATAAAAAGAGATATCCGTTCTCGGAGGAATGTAGAAGCAAGTTACGTATTGATAATTTTCGCCGGAATGGCAACAAATTCAATATCGGGACGAGTAGTAAGTTCAATTGAATAGGACGGAACTGTAGCAGATGTGGCAATTAAAACACCACCACCCGTGTGATCCAACCGATCCTTTTTGAAAACCTGGAAAGAATTGTGGACAAGGTCCGATGATTCTAAATCACGGTTTAACCAAGCTTCGCTATAGGCCAAGCAGGAAAACTTTGTGCTTGGTATATTTATAAAAGTAGAGTAAATTTTTGAATTTAGGCTCCTAACATTTTAGTAAATGAAAGTTATATGACCTGAAGAAACATTTAGTTGTTTGAGGGTGGAGAAGCTACCGACTTAGTGTCGATCCCGACGAATGAATACCTTGTTTAAGGCTTCAAACGGTCACAATGCTTTGTTTAACAAAATTTCCATATTTTCAGTTGAGGCTAACACTTTATTATTACTATTATTATTTAGCCAGAGAATAAGTTCTAAGACTTAAAGCATTAGCATCTAAGGCTTTCGGCTTTATTAAAAACTCTATCGCACTTGAGATTTGAACCGAGGACCATTGAGCTGCTAGTCGAGGCACTTGCCTTCTCGGGAACTCAGGCAGATAAGCTAACACTTTAAAAGACGAGGCAGCTCTAGGTTGAGATGGAACCTATTTGAAAATGCTTGCACGCTTCAAATTGACGGATGGGACTTTTGCAGCTGGATAAGTTTTTATATTATCATCAGAGATGTCAGGCACCGATCTTGAATCTCGAATATTGCCTTTCTGGCAGGTACTGCCGGCACATTACTGTCATAATGTGTTTCTCACTTTCTCATCAAATTATTTTCTTAACTTCATTGCTTTTTTTTGGTTTATGTTAATATATATTTATATAAGATGATAAATACTCATATACATTAACACCATGGTTTTTATTATACATCGGTGAATTGATTCACCCGTCGCAATCCTCACTGCTCCAAACTGATGATCATGCGGTTATATCAATCATTTTTCGTAGTAGTTGTATTCTTCTTTTATTTCCTCTTTTGTGCACGTCATAATCAACAAGTATCACTGGTAATTTAGGCGTGACTTTCAATAATATCGAACATTGACCGAATTCATTTATCTGTAAACCTTTATTTATATTCGAAAAATACAGCTTATGACGTTAAATTTTTTACTTATTACTGAATAATTTAGAGCAATTGCTGTAAAACAAAGCTTTACAATATATTTTGCTTTACAATATATTAATTATATATTGTTTTAATGTTAACGGAAATTTCAAGTCAAAATTCACTTGGAATCAATTTGTGTTTTATGGTCTACTTTAGTTAAAACATTTAGATTTAATTTAATATAACGTTATTTTGCTTTTAAGAAGAAAAATTCATTCAACTTTTAACTTAGTCTGCAATAATTTAATGTCAAAGCTTTTCTGTTCATGAAGGATTTTCGTTCCTCTTTATCCTTTTGTTTTTTCACATATGTCTCTTTATTCAAGTCCTCCATATTTCAAAAGATATTTATTAATTTTTACTGGTGCACTTTGGCCTTTTACGTTCACAAAACAAAAAACTTTACATCAAAATTTGCAAAAAAAAAAAAATAATTTGCTTAAGTTTTTTCGCTTTCTCCGACACAAAATAATAATAACCTTCAAGTAATTTCTTTTCGTTACCAAAATAGTTTTTATGTCTTTTCAAACCTTCCTAGTTTTTATATTTATATAATATAAGTTTGATTAATTTTATTCTCAAAATTGATTTTTATTTTAATTCACAAATTTTCTTCAAAAAAAGCTTTTTTTTCCTTACAAATTGTAACAAAAACTCTTAAACAGCTTGACGATCAAAGGGACAATCACGACACTTTGAAGTAAAGCCTATCGTTACTGCATACACATAACTTTGGACTTTTTCTCTTTATATTTCTCTCTCTCTCACACCATTATCAATTATACAATACTAATAATGAAAGAGAGTAACGTAAAAAAAAATATGATTAGCGGTAATCCGCTATCCTTAAATAAAACATGAATAATGTGAAATCGGACCGACACTGACAAATACCCTAGCCCGAATATCGAGGGGGAGAGGCGGATTAATTATTTTTATTAATATTCTTTGAAAATGTAGACAGAGAAGCTTGAATGGCACCACTGGGAAAATGCACCCTTGCCACCTCAGCAAAGCTTACATGAGTAGGGTTTCTCGGCTTATTTATAACATTTGCACTAACAGCTGGATTTGGGATGGAAGGACGGAACACTCGAAATCTTAACGAAGTTCGACAATGGTACATCCACAAGTTTTAGCGTTGCCGGCGTGGGCGAAGAGAAATGGTGGCGTGCGACACTCATCGCATATTGTTTTCATTTTTTTAAACGTTCCACACAATGTCACGGGATTTTTACTTAATTCAGAAAAACCATTTCTTGTCTCCGTGAAAACTTATAAAAGTCATTGTCCCACTTCCTATAGTCGCGACATGACCAATCCTTTCAAGGCATCGAGGACAGAATTACCGCCTGTTTTGACATGATGTATAAGAATGGACACTCTACGTTAGAAAGCAGCGGAGAAAATAGAGTTTGTGAAGAAAGAAAAAAAAAGTTTTTCGCGTACTCAAAAACAATTTCTTAAATTAAAACGATTAAAAAGACAGTAAGCAAGGAGAAAAAGTGTCAACGTCGCAAACCAAGGCAGGCGTTTGGAAGCAACAACAGGCAAAATACAAGAAAGACACTTTTCTTGACGCGAGCACCGAGCAACGATCGCAAAAACCAAAACGATATCAAGACACAAAGTTCAATATGTTACAATAAATCTGAACATTTTTAGAATTAATTGGGCCTTAAGACCATATAAACAATAAGGCAATAAATTAAAAACGAAATCACAAAATTTCTTCACATAAATTAAAAACTACGACTACAGCGCGCTCGAAAATTACCAAACTTGGCTTAAGCAAATACCTGGAATAATAGTCACTGCCAGATTGAGAGAACTTGATTGTGGCAGATTATATAGCCCAATTGAAAACAGAATCAACTTTCTAACCTATGTGCTTTTAGTGTTTTCCGTTAACTTTAACCTACTTAAGCCAGGCTGCCTTTGAATTATCCTAAGTGGGACATTGACATAGCAGAGAAAATGGCGAAATGAGGGCATTTATAAAAGCAAGACACCAAAATCTTCATGTTCGTGACTGATTCATTTCGTTTGATATGTGTTACTAGGCTTTCATATAAAGTGACCACCAATCTTATTGAAAAAGATCGTGACTGGTTAAGATTATGGTCAGATGGACTAGCCTTAACGACCTCACTGAATTTCATTGGTCTATTAAATGAACGATGATGACAATCTCCGGGTAAGACGAGTGGGGAACAGCGGCTAGTTCAGGTCTATTATTGTTAAACCTGCAAATATCAAGGAGAATTTGGCGAGTCAATGAAAGCAAGCGTTGATAAATGAAATCGAGCTACTATTTTCCGATTATTCCTATTAGCAGATGTCGAGTGGACGAACAAACCTAATTTCCCCGTGTAGCCGAATCACGAATATCTATGTGAAATGTGGCACGTATTGCATTCAAAAAGCGCAACATATTTTGCATTATCCTTAGAATCAAACCGAGCAATTTTCCTTATTGGAACCTAATTTTAATTCTGCTCTTGTCTATAGCTAAACCCTCTGTAATAGCATGAACGGCAAGGTGTGGATATTTATATTCAATAAATATATGAACGTTTACGCTTCATAACAAAGTACATAAAGACATTACATTTCATTTAGACAAATAATCTTTAAGAGAATAAACACAGAATGCTACGTGTTGTTGTTGTGGACAAAAATTGCTTGTGAGCAAATTAGCTATAAAAAGAAAGAATTTATTAAAAAAGTTTCTCTTCTTCTTCTCGTTGTCGCCCCCTGTTGTGTCGCTATCTGCTAGTCGATTCCTCTCTCCTTCTCATCTATTCCATCTGGCTTAATAAGATTTATTGCATATGCGTGGCTATGCAAATGTTGTTACGCTTCAGCATCAAAATCAATAACAAAACGAAATTCTTTCTGCTTTTGTTCTTTATTTTTTTTTGTGTTTGCAGTTTAAAATAAATTCTGTGTACCAAACGGCAACTACTACACCAAAGTTCTCTTGAAATAACGAAAATTCTTTCAAATTTAAGTCTAACATTGTTGGGATTAACTCAACCATTGCTGTGATAAGAGTAGAGAGTAGAGTAGAGTTCATATCAAGAAAGATCAACTGGAATTTTTTTCTTTGTCGTTTTACTCCTGTATTTGCTCGAAAGGCTTTCATCAAGATCTGGAATGTTTTTATTATTTCTAACTGCACTTCTACGAAAAGCAAAAAGGGACAAAAAAATTCTATTAGTCATTTCGAACATTTGTAGAAAGTATCTTCTGCTCTCTCTCTCTCTTTGTCAATATTTTCTGTTTTTATATGATATATCCATAACTAACGAATGTGTTTATTACAATTTGTTGGCATGTTTCTCCACCTTTGTTCTTTCATTTGATCCTTTGATTGTCATAATTGTCTGTGAGTATGTTTTCACTTCTTGCTAACAAATTTGAGCCATGTTTGGTAAACAAGTGGAACGCGAACAATCTTTCAAAAAATCGCAAATAAAGCTTCAATTCTTCCAGAATTTATAAGAATAAACAAAGAACTTATTTGTGAAAACTGAAGGTCAATTTAGCGAGAAGGTAGCTGCCACTTTTATCTGGAATGTCGATCGTCTAAGTCCACAGAAACGTTAGAGAGTATTTCCGTGAAATTTGTTGAGCATTTTTTAGATCTTATTACAAAGAGCCGATGTGGTGTGAAGACGATTAATTAATACATTGAATATTCTCATATAATTATTTTATACATTTTATTGTTTTACATTTTTCTATCGTTCAAATACAAAGAAAAATGTTCGAACAAATAATTTTCATTGATTTGCACAAGTTCGTGATAGTAAGCAAAACCAAAAATAATAAAATTTTAAAAATATGTTTTCTTCGTCATTTTGTCACCTGTCACATATATTTATTCAAAATTTTTCGTCAATACTAATCACAAGATATCACTTCAGACTCCCCACTACCAAGAAGTAGCAAGATTAGCAAGATTCGATTAAAGTAAGGCAAATACCTCTTTTTGTCTTCTCTTGAAGTAACATTTCTTCGCAATCATCGTATTTGCGCTTTAGCTCAAGTTCTTTTTTCGGTTCTAACCTTTATGTAAATCAAGAAAGAAGATTTGCGGACTTGATATCTTAAGCAATTTAAGGATAGGTTCTTAGTCGTACATAGTTTATCGTGCATCTCTTAAGAAGTTTTCGAAGGCAAATAAACCTACGGTGGTCGATAGGAATGCGATGGTTGAAAATAGATTAGAAGAATTGTAACATTGTCGCTTGACGATGTTATTATATTTACGCGTATGTAATATTTATTTGTAACATTTGACTATTAACGGTTACATAAGCGGATATATTGCCACATCCTGTTCTATTAATTTTTTTTCGTTTAAAAACATAAAATTGTAAAGCCATCCAAAGCAAAATAAAAGCAATCTACAATTATATACAATTGTAACTAAAATAAAATACAATATTTTGCAAAAGCTTATACGAACCTGTGCAATACAGTTGGCGGTACAGCTAGAAAATAATTCGTTTTGCAAACTATGAGCCAAGCTGTTGCCTTATATAAAGATTTTTTTTAATATTACACTCATTTGCGATCGCATGTATGCCAATCTGGAATGTTTTATAAGACATTCTGCGGCATATTAGAAAGTTTTTGCCAAATTTAGTCATTCGAAAAAACTTTTTATAAAAGGACGTGTAGACCAATAGTTATATAGAAAATCTACCATGTGCATATAATGACTGTTACGCAAGAAACATAATAAATTAATATGAACTCTCTCATCACGGGTACAGGCACAGTTTAAATTGTTATTAAATATATACAAAATGTAGTGACCGGATAATAAACGGTTATATCATCGTTAATATATATTTCATCAAAGAGGAGATTACTCTCTAACATGGACCGCAAGACGTCGTAATCACCTTTTGGTGGCCGCTCATGTCGACATTTATTTTGAAAGTGAAATGTCTGGAAAGAAATTTGACAAGTGACGTTACAAGCAACCGTTTCATTACTTCTTTTCTAGAACTCACACCGAACGCAGTGTCTTAAAACCACTTTATCCACTGCCAGTTTATTCACTCTGCCCTTTGCAGCTAACTGATGAAGGCTATTGAAACTGCTTGCAAGGACCTTTCAAGTAAAATTGCTTGCTGATAGCAAAATACAACAGAATTTTCCTACAATTTTAATATCTGCATATGCATGTAGTATATATTCACACCAGTATATGTGTCACGTATAAAGGTTAACACGTATTTATCATTTGTTCAGATTTCAATTTGCCGGGGTAAAGAAAATCCTGTGAACGTGGATTAATTTCACTTTATAACTATAATCATTTTTGTGAAGTAAAACATCAAAGGCTTCTTTAACGAAAAGGTATAAATAGCAAAGAAAGTCCAGGGAAATCTGGACATTTTCATGGACTCCGTTGATAACCAATATATGACACAAAAT